GTTGACACCCCCCCACGGGGCCCTTCTATATGTGTACACACACACACACAGGGCCCCTTCTGTGTGTACGCACACACACACACACACGGGACCTTTCTATATGTGTACACACACACATGTGTACACAGACACACACACACACACACAGGGCCCTTCTGTGTACACACACACACACGGGGCCTTTCTATATGTGTACACACACACACACGGGCCCTTCTATACATGTACACACACACGGGGCCCTTCTATATGTGTACATACACACACAGGGGGCCTTTCTATGTGTACACATACACACACGGGGCCTTTCTATATGTGTACATGCACACACACGGGGCCCTTCCATATGTGCACACACACACATAGCCCTTCCATATGTGTACACACATGGGGCCCTTCTATACATGTATACACACATGGGACCCTTCCATATGTGTACACACATGCACACACATAGGACCCTCCCCTACTGTACATGCATATATGAGGACTTACCATATGTGTACACACATGTGTGGGGCCCTTCCATATGTGTACATAAACACATGAGGCCTTTCCATGTGTACACACACACACTCCTGGGACTTTTCGTTACATGTACACACACACACACACACACACACACACCTGGGCCTTCCCATATGTATACACACACACGTGGGCCCTCCCATACATGTACACGCACACACCCGTGGGCCCTCCTATACATGTACACACATACAGACACACCTGGGCCCTCCCATACATGTATACGCACACACACCTGGGCCCTCCTATACATGTACACACATACAGACACACCTGGGCCCTCCCATACATGCACATGCACACACTCCTGGGCCCTCCTATATATGTACACACACACACCCCTGGGCCCTCCCATACATGCACATGCACACACTCCTGGGCCCTCCTATATATGTACACACACACACCCCTGGGCCCTCCCATACATGCACATGCACACACTCCTGGGCCCTCCTATATATGTACACACACACACCCCTGGGCCCTCCCATACATGCACATGCACACACTCCTGGGCCCTCCTATATATGTACACACACACACCCCTGGGCCCTCCCATACATGCACATGCACACACTCCTGGGCCCTCCTATATATGTACACACACACACACCTGGGCCCTCCCATACATGCACATGCACACACTCCTGGGCCCTCCTATATATGTACACACACACACACCCCTGGGCCCTCCCATATATGTACATGCATACCCCTGGGCCCTCCTATATATGTACACACACACACACCTGGGCCCTCCATACATGTACATACACACATGTACACATGTAATGCTCTGCTTCACAGAGCTCTGGCATCAAGACAAGTGGAAGGGACCAGCAGTTATCACAATGGCTATGTCACTGAACTCCCATGTAGTCAACAACGGTTCAAGTCCCGGACCCAGCGGCTTAAACTCACGCCGGGCATGTGTGCGTGCGTGCCCATGATCTCGAGAGGAGAATGGAGGAGAAGGGATTGCAGCGTGGCCATCCCCACTGGGGGTGATTTCTCACTTTCTATCTCTCTCTGGAGATCGCACACGCTCTGTAGCAAAAACCTCTAAAAAAAAAAAAAGACAAGTGGAAGCACTGCAGTCTGGTCACACCCCCTCTTCTAAGAGCAATGCAGGGGCTGGGCAGTTTGGGAGAGGAAGAGGAAGCAGAGCCTGAGGGGAGTGAGCGGTGGGAGGGGACAGGGAGTATTGGGCGAGGCAGGACTGCGGGTCTGGGGTGTGCTCAGCTGGGCTGTGTGCTGTCCCAGGGAAGGTGGGTGCCCCTCCATGGGGCTGGCCCAGCCCAGAAGGCCCGCACTGACCGGGCGCTGCCTCCCTGGCAGGTCACCCTGGAGGTCTCCAAGCACGAGGACTCGCAGATCTCCGTCTGGATCATCGTGGGCAGCACACTGGGGGGCCTGCTGCTGCTGGCTCTGCTGGTCCTGGCGCTGTGGAAGGTGAGACCACAGGGTACAGATGGGGAAGCAGCCTGGCCAGTGACCTGGGCTGACGGGCCCCTGCCACGCCCTCCCAGGGGAGCTCCCAGAGCTGGTCTGCCACCTCAGCACCCAGCCCCTCCCCACCACAGCCAGGCTGGTCAGGGCCAGTAGAGGGCACCTGGACCCTGGCTCCAACCCTGCAAGGGTTCTTTGAGAACCTGATCAAAGCCAGGGTTCCTCCTACCAGAAAAGTATACACGACGGCACAAACTTCTCCAACAGCGCCAGGCTGCTAACCAACCCATCCACTCACAAAGCCATCTGTTTCTGAACCCCTGGTTCTAAACTCCTGTTACAGATGAGGCAGCCCAGAGAGGGATATGGACTGGGGCAGGGTCACACAGCAAGATGGTTACTGCCAGCATGACTCTTGCCTCCTGTCCAGGGCACCACCCACTCCCTTCCAGACCCAGGAGGAGCTCCCGCGGTCGGGGAGCTTGGGCTGGGCCTGGGGGTTCAAGGAAGCTCTCTGATGGAGGCCAGCTAGGGCTTTGTGGAGGGACGGCTAGAAGACAGGCAAGCCTTGTCCACCCCAAGACTTCTCCTCTCCCCACAGCTCGGCTTCTTCAAAAGTACCAAGCGCAAGAGGGAGCCTGGCTTGGGCCCCACCCCCAAGGTGCTAGAGTGAGGCTCCGGAGCAGGCTGTGTAGACGGGGCTGGACACCAGTCCAGGCGGTGCAGGCCTAGGCCACAGCGGGCGGGAGCAGACAGGATGCCAGCTGGCTCTGCACTTGACCTCAGCCCTGAGATGGTCCCTGCTGCCTCTGGGAGGAACTCAAGCCAGTTTTAAGAGGAACCACCTCGGAAAGCCACCTCACCAGGAGGCGAGGACACTTCCCACACAGATCCCAGGGACTGAAAGGGGCCTGCGCCCAGGCCCTGTGGAGGGCGTTTGCTGCCCAGCCACTAAGGTGCTAGGAGTTCCTGTCATCCCCACCCCAGAAAGCCCGGGAGGAAGAGTGTACATATGACCTGCCCTGAACACTCCGGGCCACAAGCTCTAAAAGGACCCTACGAGACAGCGGATCTGAGTGCTCCGAAGTCCTCACACCCACTCCCGCCCCACACCATGGACGCTCCCCAGCTGTACCCAGGCCCCCTCCAGGATGGGAGGTGGGCTCCCTGGGTCCCCCTGAAGGAACCTGAGCCTTAGGGCCTGGTGACAGCCACAGGACTCTGGGATGCAGGGACCATGACATGTGGCGGTGGACCTGGAAAACGGACACAGCCCGACATCCGGAGGCAACCGGGCTCTGCACCCATGTGCACCACACGGCCCGCCACCGCACCCCACGCCAGCCCTCGGGCTCCCCTCTGCCCTCTGCTGCCACCACTCCACGCTGCTGTATTCCTAGGTACCTCTGGGAGGCCGCAGACGACTCCATCCCTAGGGCTCTGCATTCCCACTTGGTCGTCACCAGGCAGCCTGCCCTGACCTGAACGCACTGGCCTGGTGCAGCTGGGGCAGCAGGGTGGGTGGGAGTCTCCCCCGCAGGCACTCCCCTCCGACACAGACACCCCTCCACCCGCCCTTACCACTGCCCAGGGAAAAGGGCTCGGCTGGTGCTGGGGAAGGGGCCTCTGGAATGCACTGAATAAAGACCACGCGAGGACCCCAGACTGCAGCCTCGGTGCAGACATCTCATCGGCCAGCCCAGGGGACAAGTGGTGCGACCAACCACACTCCAAGGACAGCAGCATGCCTGGTGCCCAGCGGCCTGGCCCTGGCTTGGAGGGAGAAATGACAGGGGACACATCGGAGGCATCTATCCCCTGCGCACAGTACCACCTAGTCATGAATATTTCTAAGAAATTTTAAGGCGCTGGCAGGTGGCATGGTGGTTAAGGTGCTGGGCTCTCACATGGCCAAAAACAGTTCAAGTCCTGGACCTGGCAGTTTGCTTTCTCGCTTTCCCTGTTTCTCTCTAGTCAAATTAAAAAATAATGATGATTAGGGACTGACAGGTGGCATGGTGGTTAAGGTGCTGGACTTCCACATGGTTGACCACAGTTCAAGTCCCAGACCTGGTGGCTTGCTTTCTCACTTTCCCTTTTTTTTTCTCTCTCTGTCTTTTTCTGGTCAAACTTAAAAATAATAACAAAAAGTTTTTTTTAAAAAAGATGATAAATAAAAGTAATTTTTTTTAAAGAAAAGGGACATTTTATAAGAAATAGTCTTTAAAAATGCCCACAGTGTAGATGTCCATCCCATAAGGGCAAGTGTGCCCTGGCGGCCCCCCTCTCTTAGGAGCAGAGGAGATGGAAGGGCTCCCAGCTGCCTTCCCAGTCGCTCTCCATGGGGACGGACTTGCCCCCGGTGCTCCTGCAGCATGCCTCCGAGCCACCACCCAACCTCCCCAGGTATGCCGTGGGCAGTGGTACAGCATCCCTCCTCCACCCCCAAGATTCCTGCCTTCTCTGGCTAGCATGGAGGCTTAGAGCCCAGGGACTCCCCTGGGCTGCCCTACCAACTTCTCCAAGCTGGAGTTTCAGGGCTGACCCTCTCACACCCTGACTCTGAGTTTCTTCTGGACACACCGGCTGCTCTTAAACCAAGGTTTCCTCTGTGCCATTCACTTCCTGGGATCCATCGGATCTTACCTCCCCAGGGCTGAGGGCGCTCAATTACAAGAGCCCTCGGTCCCACGGTGAAGCTAAGACTAAACACCACACTGCTTCTCCCAAGCCAGATTCCGGCCCTCAAGCCCACTTCACAAGGCTGAATAAGAGGTGAGGAACAAAGGGTGAAAAGATCGAATCAAAACCTAAAATATCAAGGCCCATTTTTCCTAAGAGAATCTGAAGGAGACGTCACACTCAGTCTCAGCCGTCACCTTGTGAGCGGGGCTAACCGGCTACAAGGAATGAACCACACTCCAGAGTGCACCGTGGGCCCGCCCACGGCCTACAGGGTAAGGGAGGTGAATCCCACCGGGTTGGACAGAGTTTGAATCACAAGCTTGACCCATTCCCAGAACCCTGACAGGAGGGGATGGAGAAAGGAGCAGTGCGCCCGAGCTCACTGGGGGTGCTCCTCCCTCTCCCTCTCCTCTCTCCATTCTTTTTTAAAAAAGAGGCGAGGAGGAGTGCACTGTCTGACACCACGTCTTCTATCGAACACCGTCAGGCCTGGGGCCCATCTGTGGAGGTCGCCATTGGCTTTTTGTTTTTGCTGTCGGGCACATGCCACTCACATGACAGAGAAAATGAAAAGGCACCTCCCAGAGTGGGGAGGGCCATGCCACAGTCCCAGCTCCTCTTTCTCCTCGTAACTTTGAGCACATAAACGCGTGTCCCCAGTGTGTTTTTTCCAAGCTGTCAGGACCGGGACTTGATCCAGTCACCTTAGCCTCCACGCCACCAGCCAGCCCAGCACTCACACTTTGTAACGGCCTCGAGTGACTATAGCGTGGGCTGAACAGCACATCCGTATCTGCACGTCACAGGCAGCCGAGGCCATCGGGGGGCACCCTCTGGACTCTGAGAGCAGACAGTTCCTCTCCCCAGAGCCCAGTCTCCCCACGTGCCCCAGGCCTACTCCAGGCCCACCCCAGGCTCACAACTGCTGGGAAGTACAGGCTGCTCCCTTTTACAGCCTTTAGCCTTGGCGTTGTCTCGTCTCTCTCCTCCTTCTCTTACCAACTCCCCCTCTCTGAGTCGATTTGCTCTAAAGCATAAACGTCTGAGGCTGCCTTATCAGTGCCTGGCGAGAAATCGGAGGACAGGGAGACAAAGTGGGTGGGCGAGGACTCATGCCTTAGCAATGTTGCTCAACCTGGCTCCGAGAGACACCGATGCAGCGCAGCCCCTCGGGATTCAGGTGAGCTGGCGGGGAGGGCCAGGGTACACACAGGCTGGACAGGAAGACCTAGGGGTCAGGACGCCCGAGTGGCTGCCTACCATCCACGCCCAGAATGGCGCTGCCACCATTGACGTGTTCCAGCTCACCAGCTCTAACCTGGGGTCTGGAAGACCTTGCTGAGGGTCTGCAGGGTGGGATTTCTGTAGACTTCGCCCAGGTGTCCAGGGTTGGCTCTTGGAGGAGTTGGGCACATCTGCTGTCGTCTGGGAGGGGCACTGAACAATGAATGGTCTCTGAAGACCATTTTGGCATTCAGATAAAGGCGGGCCAAAGTGCAGCCTGAGTCAAAATTAGGATCCATACGTCCACAGACGGATGGTCAAGCTGTGCTAAACGAGACAGGCCTGCTCCGCGGCATGGCAGTGATGCGATTAGGATCCATACGTCCACAGACGGATGGTCGAGCTGTGCTAAACGAGACAGGCCCGCTCCGCGGCACGGCAGTAATGCACTGCTCAGAAGACAGGTGCCATCAGGCACCAGCAGGCCGAATCCCCAGCCCAGTCAGTCTCGAACACTCCAGGCATGCACGCAAGTGCCCAAGGATGGGGCCGTGGCACAGCCCAGCCCATGTGGAGGTGCTCACTCTCTCCCTCTTCCTCTCACATGTGTGCACGCACGCGCTCTATGATGAATAAATGTTAGAGGAAATACTGCCGACCTAAAAACACGCCAGTCTTTTTTTTTAGAGGGGTTTGCTATAGGGTGCGTGCACTCGCCGGAAAGACAGAGAGAGACAGAGAGACAGGAAGCGAGAAATCACCCCCCCGGGGGCGATGGCCGCAATCCCTTCTCCTCCATTCTCCTCAGGATCTTGGGCACGCACACACATGCGACAAGCGTGAGTTTAAGCCACCGGGTCCAGGACTCGAACCGCAGTCGACTACGTGGGAGTCCAACGACATGGCCATTAAGCTAACTGCTGGCCCCAAAAAGCACGTCAGTCTTTTTAAAGCGCACTGTACACACCACTCTAAAGCTGCTTTGCTCTCCACAGCCATGTGAGACGCAAGCAAGCCTGAAGCAAGCTTTTGTGCACTAGAGAAAAACATGCCTGAGCGACAACCAACAGAAGACGGCTTTAGAATCTGGTCCACGGATTGGCAGGCTTCCTAAGTTCTGGCTCACTGGCTAGAGTAGAGCCAGACCTCCAACAAGGAGTCAGAAACAAGGTGTGCAAGAAGCCTGGGGTGGTTTCAGGCTCTCTGACTTGGCATGCCGCTAGGGTCCTGCCCACACACAGGACGGGCTGGTCCTCTGGGAAGATATGGAGCAGGGGGCAGACCTTGGAGAACCCCACGAGAAGCCTCTGCACCACCTTCTGCAAGGAAGAGGACATCCAGCCAGCTAAGCGCTGGAACGGAGAAATGCAGACAAGGGTATTGATCTCTTCCCAGCACTGGGTGGCACGGCGTGCAGCTCAGGAGGCACTAGTGTCTCACACGGCTGAGTATTCAGAGCCCTCTCCATCAGAGCCAGACCCCTACATTCCTCCTCGGACCTCACAGACCCACATGTACGAGGCAGTTTAAAGCACATTAGGCGTGTAGGACCAGCGATCTGGAGTCATAATACTCTGACTTCATCTCCAACGTCAGTTTCTCGGGCAGTATGGCTGGTACCAGCTGCCCTTCACCCAATCTGGGCCCAATGGGTGGCAGCAGCCCTTGAGAGCGCCCTTCCAGTGCACACAGTGGGGTTCTCGGCAAGGCAGATGAAGGGCAGGGCGCGAAGCTGTCCCAAGCACAACAGAGGCGTGAGGCACACCTCTGCCCAGGGCGATGGCCACAAGCTCCTGAAAGGGTCAGACCCTCCTCGTCCCTGAGCTCTTTAAAGGCAAAGTGGCACCTCCATCTGCATTCAGAGCTGTTCACGTGATACTTTCCCAGAGCAGAGCCCCGGGGTGCCAAGCAGAAACTGCTGGCTTCCTCATGCTCTCTTCCTCGCACAATGATCCGTCTTGATCCAAACAGGAGGTGGCCAGGTCTCTGCACCCAGATGTGCCTAAGCATAGCCATTAGTAGCACATGGCCTCCCATCTTCATCTGACTACTGGCCTTTGATTTTTACCTTCAGCTCAAGTGGTGCTAGCCCTTATTGCTTCTTATAGTTTAAAAAAAAAATCGCCAGTTATTTTTATCATAGTATGAACATCGACTAGGTTCTTCTTGAAGGGCGGTCAGGCTTACTCGACCACATTGACCTGCAGAGCGCTTCTGTGTCAGTGTCTATTAGCGTGACATCACCTCAAGTAGGACGGCGTGTTCCAAAACAGAATCTGAAACAGAAAGAGGAGCTGTGCTGGCTGAGGGAGGGCAGTAAGCCTTGCACCCCTGGAACTTCCCAGTAGGAGAGAGGCTAAGCTGCGCCTAGCAAAGCCTGCAGCTTTGATGCAAGATAAATGCAGAAAACTTTTTTTTAAAGGAAGGGGTACACCATTCCTTAAAGCATCTTTTCTAATCACTCTTGCAATAGTCTCTGCTCTTATCTCCCTGGCATGCATAAATAATGACACAGCAATTCGACAGTTTCTGCCATGCTTGCAGAAGATGGCACAAGCCAGAGTCAAAAACATCATGTTTATTTAGAATTAAAATTTGAGGGAAAACAGAAAATTAGATTTTGAATAGGTGCATCTAGTGAGACGACGAGTTCATCGAGGGAGAGGGCGAGGACCATCTTCCTTACACTCGCATGCATGGCCACCCCGAGCACAGCACCCAGCAACGGCAGGTGCTCGGTAAGCACCCACGTCCAAGTTTATTCCCAATAGTAGAGCCAACGGACCGACCGGCTCAGCCCATCAGGCTTCCTCTCTGATGGACCAAGCACTCCAAATTTAAAAAGCCCAGGCAAATCGGAAAACAGAATTCTGGGGCCAGCCGGTGACATGGTAATTAAAGGCAGCTAGATCCCATATGGCCAACATCACAGTTTGAGTCCCAAACCCAGCAATCTGAAAAACACACCTGGCACCTGTACATGCATGCCCAGAATCCTAAGAGGAGAGTAGAGAAGGGACTGTCCCGTCCCTGCTCCCCCGCCCCCCCGGCCCAGGGCTGGGGCTGTCTCACACTCCCATTCTCTCTCTCTCACTCTCCCTCTGTTCCTCTCTGGTTACATATGTGAACTAAACTTGCTGGCAAGCTAAGATTTTTGTGAACCACCTGAAATTTACATCTCATATGAAATTTGAGCACATATCTGAAAGAATATACACTACCTACTGCCAGTGTTTTCTCCAGTCTGGTTACCTGTTTTAGCAACTTTAAACCTGTCTGCCTTCTGCAGGCCACCTGGCTACAGCCTGGCAGCAGCCTGGCAGAGTCCAAGGCAGCCTCTCTGGTCCTGAGCCTTTTGGTGAAAGCATCGCTTAGCGGGTGAAGACCCAGAACCTGCTTCCTGCTCACAGTCCTTCTGTGATCCTGGGCCTTAGACAAGTCACTTCTTTCCAGGTCTGAATGCACAATTATAAAATGAGAGGGCTGCACTAGTGGTTTATGAAGGGCCTGGAACAGCTACCTGAAATCGAATCTGAAGACAAAGATAAGCATTTAACACCCTCCTGGCAATCATAACCATTGCAGTTAGGGAAAAAGTGAGGTATGAATCTTGGAAATGAGAAGGCAAAGTGTCACTTGCAAGTGATGATCAGTGTATCTGAGATCATTCAAAAAAAGCGACTGTAAAAAATACTTTTTTAGGGGCTAACAGGTAACATGATGGTTAGGGAGCTGGATTCCCTCATGGTCAACTGCAGTTCGAGTCCTGGACCCAGCAGCTTGAAAATCATGATGGGCGCAGAGGCATGCTTACCCAAAATCCTGAGAGAATTAAGAAGGGATTGCAGCATGGCCACCCCTCTGGAGGGTGATTTCTCACTTTCCCTCTCAATGTCTGTCTCTCTCCAGTGCACACACCCTAAGGCAAAAACCTCTACCAAAAATAAAAATAAAAAATGTTAAATCTGAGCCAGCCTGTACCAAGTGGTTAGGCAGCTGAATCCTACATGGTCAACTACACAGTTCAAGTCCCAGACCTGGTAGCTTGAAAAACACCCCAGATACATGTGCACACATACACACATGCCCAACATCCTGAAAAAGAGAAACAAGAGAAGGGACTGCAGTAAGGTCACGTCCCAAGGGGGTGCTTTCTTGCACACTTACACACTCTTGTGTATAAGTGTGTACATGCTCTCCCTCTCTAGGGAATGCTCATACCCTCTGGCAAAATTAAAAAAGAAATAAAACTTAACTCCATAAAAGTACCTTTGCAAAAAAAATTAACATTTAGAAGCAGATATGCTTGTACTTCACAGTTTATGAAAACAGAAATTAAAGAGGCCAGAAGGCGGTGTGGTGATTAAAGGCACTAGACTCTAACGTGGCCAACCACGGCTCAAGTCCCAGACCTGGTGGCTTGCTTTCTCACTTTCTCTCTCTCTCTCTCTCAGTTGCCAATAATAACAAAGTTAAAATAAAAATAATTCTTTTAAAAAGATAAATTAAAATGCAAGTTCATTTTTAGTGCAAATTTTTTTTAAATCCATGCATAGTTTTTTCATAATATGCATTTTTCATGAACTTTAAAAATTTTTCACGTAACAATACAAACAAGCCTAATGATAATAAAAAGAAAACATTTGCAAGACTTCATTTTAACAGAATCGTAAAAAAAAAAAAAAAACCCTCTGGACAAAGACAAAGACTCACCTAAACAGATATCTATTTCTTTTGGATAGAAAGATTCAGAATAGTAGAGATATAGATGTCAAGTCTCAATTTCATCTATTAATTCAAGGCTGGAGCTGGCGGGTGGCATGGTGGTGAAGGTGCTGGACTCTCACATGGTCAACTGCAATTTGAATCCCAGACCTGGCAGCTAGCTTTCTCACTCCCCACTCCCCATCTGTCTCTTTCTGGTGAGTCTGTGTGCCCTGTAGCAAATTTAAAATAATAATAATAATAATAATAATAATAAAAAATAATCCGGAAAAAATATTTATTAAATGCTAAACAAAATAATCTCTTAACATGATAAAATGACACCAAAATTCATCTGGAAAGACAAACATAACAATAATGAAAAGAATACCCCCACCACCACCAAAAAGAGACACATGGAAAAATACTAGCTCAACTAATAACACTCATAATACTTAACCTTTACCAGGGGCTCCACTGTGTTACTGTTAAGCATGTTAATTCTATCACTTGCTCTTCACAGTCCAAGTTAGATAATATTACTGTCTCAATTTATCAAAACTGAGCCTTGGATAGAAAGATAGGGTAAGGTCACAGATCTAGCAATGCAGGCCCTCTAGCACACTTCCAAGGAATTTCAAACAAGGAGTAAGAAAAAGACCACAGCCCAAAAGTAAGCAGAGAAAATACAAATGGCCAATAATTTTTTTTTCTTTGAGAGTTATTTTTGGTGCGTGCACTCGCCAGAAAGAGACAGAAAGCGAGAAATTATCCCCCGGGGTGAACGGCCATGCTACAATCCCTTCTCCTCCTGGGATCTTGGGCATGCACGCACACGTGCCCAGTGTGAGTTTAAGAAACCGGGTCCGGGACTCGAACTGTGGTCGACTACATGGGAGTCCTGCGACATAGCCATTACGCCAACTGCTGGTCCGCCAGTAAATTTATGAAAGCATTCAACCTCACTCATAAGAAACCCAAATCAAAACCATGAGATACTGTTTTCCATTCATCGCTTTGGTAAAAACTGATGGATTAGGTAATCTCTGATACAATAAACATATAGAGATGGAAGGCAATTTGATAACCTCTGTGAAGACTTTTAAAATACAGAAGTTCCAGTGCCAGACTGTAAATACTATATACAAAAGGCTACTCACTGCAGTACGGTCTTGATTATCAAAAACTGAAGTTGAAACATCTACCCAAAAGATCTAGTTCAATAAATCCTAAATCCACTCACAGCACTGGGTTCCATGGAGTTCTTTAGAAAGTCTCTGAGGCAGCCCCGCAGCACAACACTTACGGGCCGTCCTGGAAAGCCACATTGGCAGTTAACCTCAGCCTGCGGGCCTGCAGAGCACACTCAGCCCCTGTGTGTGCACAGAGGAGGGAGGGCTGTGTGTGCCGGCACCCCCTTGCTGGGCGCTTTCTCTCTCTTTAGCAAGCACATGTGCCCTCTGGCCATTTTTTAAATTTAATTTAAAATGAAAAATCTACATACACAGAAATTTTAGAATACCTGATACATTAAATGGAGAAGATAAGATGGGAGAATAGCGTAGGGAAGTAAAAATTCCATTTGCATTTCAAAGAAATGAAAAAGAAGTAAGACATATATTCACAGAATTCTGGGAAGCTACTCCGAAGACTATTAATCAGGAATTAGCTCTGTAGCATCCAAATAGCAAGTGGGGAGAGACCAGAAGGGAACTTTTTCTTTTAAACTACCTGAATTTTTCCCACACATATGTATAATTTCAACAACTTTTTTTTTTTTGGAGAGGTTTTTGCTATAGGGCGCGTGCGCTCGCCAGACAGACAGAGAGAGACAGAGAGACAGAAAGCGAGAAATCACCCCCCAGGGGGGGTGGCCACGCCGCAATCCCTTCTCCTCTGTTCTCCTCTTGGGATCTTGGACACACACGCACACGCGCCCGGCGTGAGTTTAAGCCACCGGGTCCGGGACTCGAACCACGGTCGACTACGTGGGAATCCAGTGACATAGCCATTACCAGCCTAACTGCTGGTCCCCAACAACTTTTTTTAAAAATGAACTCAACTGAAAGATCATCTCAACTAAGGAACACTGAACAATAAAGACACAAACTTCAAGGTCATTTTTTCAAACATTTACTAAACACAAACACCATTTGTTCCTTTTGTACAGCAAGATTGTTAGTTTCAAATTAGCTGAGCTATTAGGACTGTCAATTACCGTGAAATTTAAAAGGATTCCACGCGTCAAACGCAAACAGAAAGTGGCATGCCATGTGTCAATCACAAAGAGCCCTCTGGTGCGGTCAGCAAGTGTACTTTTATTAAAGTCACACCAACGTCTGACAAAAGTGCACAACAGAATGACATCACTGGCTCGTTATGTCACAGTGAGCTACAGACACGACGGTGCCGCTCCTTTACCTGGACTGCAGGACAGGGTGGAGGTTAGAAAGGACAGGATCTTTCAGCAGGCTGGGCCAATCCGATTTTACTCCCCAGCTACGTACCTCTGAAGCGACTGGTTGGTAAAGCTCAAGTTTTCTCCCTTATCTTCTCTTCTACCAATTACTAAGTGACAGCAAAAAGGCCATGCACTGACTCCACAGGACCCAACACAAGCCAGACACAAAACCCTGCTCACCGCATCATGTGGCAAGCTGGTCCCTTGCTCCTCCACGTCTCCGGATCAGGCTGTGCATCGCGTGACTCACCCCTAAATGAAAAGCTGCTGACAGTTTAGCCACACTCCCCCAGCACACCTCGAGACACACTCCATAACCATCAGGTCGCTGTCCCTCCCTACACATGGACACTCAAGTACACACCACAAACCTCGGACTCGAGACATTTACTTCACAGTTCTAAAACTAATACATCACCGCTATTAGTGTAGTACTTATTTCAGCTCTTACATTTGAGGGAGGGGATGGATAGCCCAGCCCATCTCAAGATTTGGGCAAGTCTGCCAGAAATCTGCAAGGAAGCCCAGTGTGACATGTAACTAGGAGCTTTCTACTTTTGAGAGTCAACATCCAGAACAAGGCTGTGCGATTTCAGAGTAGGAACGAACACGTGGCTTAAAATCTTCTGGATGACAAACTTTTATTAGAGTTTTGTTTTCTTTAACCCCTTTTAACATTACAGTGTAGCCAGTGAGAAAGACAGGTCACCTGTGAACTGACACACCTGGCTAGCCTGAAAAAGAATATTGAAAATTTTTACAGAAAATCTGCCATAAGAACAAATCCTTTAGATGTAATCCGCCTACTCTAGTTTCATCACTAGTTGCTTCTCAAGCGGCCAACTATAATCCAAGGTCCGGCAATTCACTCCTCTCCCAATCCCACCCCAAAGTAAGAAATGCTTCTGCTTGAGTAATCCCAGATGGTCTTGCTAGTCAGGTAGCTGCCTCAACTGCAGGAGAGGGTGTTGCTCCCTTGAGACTTAAATTTTCAAAAACACTAGTCAAACAGAGTTGGTATTTAGGGGGGTTTTTAACTCCAAACAATACTACCATACCCAAATTCTGTAAGAATTTAGTTACCAATTATTAACCGACACTCGGTATAATTAAAACCCTTCTCAGAAACAAGCAAGACCAAAGTTTGCAGATGATTTACTTTTTGGTGTCTGTTTACTTAAAGTTTCCACAGCAAAGAACTTTATGGTAGCTGGGCTGTGGCCTATGTCAGTCAGTTCTCATATACAAATGCTCCCCCTTCGTCAACAACTGAGGGGCTGGGTCTGCTGTCCATTCCTTGAGTTAAACAGTTACCCAAACCCAAGAGTTCCATTTCACCAACTCTATTAAAAGCATAAAACCCAGGGAAGGTTCATGTGATTTGCAAATGAAAGCACCCACCTGGGCTCCTGGCTCATCCAGATTTACATGACAATTATGGAGCAGGACAGAGGTTTATAATCTGGTATGCTGTCAAGGAAGTTACAATTCAAAGCATCATCCTACCATAAGAAACATCAAGTGACAAAGTGATTGTTAAATGGAGGCAGTGTGGAGTTCTCAGACAGCGGAGATACATACAGAATGATCACCTTTCTTACCTATTTATGTTTCTTTTTTAAGGAAAATTAAGTTTGGGAAGGGTTTGGTTAAATGTATTTTTAAATAATTCCACCAAAAACAAATGGAAAACACAGGCATGTCGATCACTTGTTTCAAGAATGGTTTATACAGGTGTTTCACAATACATATTTGGATTGAGCTTACAGGACAGTGTTAGACCCCCGCAAGACAGTACACAACATACTACTGTACTACAGCTTAAAACTCTCGTTACCATCAGCACGGCGCACACTTTACCCCGCTGTGGTCACGTTCCCTCTCCTACTTGGTCAGCATTTCAATCAGCACAGCTTTGCTTTCTCCAGCAATCAATCTTCCCTTCTCAAAAATACTGTGAATACATTGCGATGTCCAAATACGTACATATAATCATTATCCTCATTTTATAAATATGAAAGGTCTTAAACAGTCCTGGTCCTGGGTAGCAAAGGGGTGAAACATATTTCGAAAACATGCAACATCATCTGATACTTTAAATTTTGGTATTTAAAAATCATATACAATAATGGAGCCAACTAATGCCAAGTATCGTAACTACTCCTTGGACTGTCCAGGAACCCTATTGTCCAGCAGGCTGAAAAACAGCATAATCTGAGCTGTGGAAGAGGCGTGATTCACTCACCTTGAGGAGTGCATTTTCTCTTTCAGGCCTCTGAGAGCTGCCAAGAGCAAGGTACAGTATTTTCATGAATAGGAGGAGGATCAAAACTGGTCATTTTCAAATTAGGGCTTATTCATACACCTTCCTTTAAGCCATCCTAAAAACCAACCTTGTAAAATCTCAGGTTAGGAAAAACAGAAATCTATTACAATTACCAGTGAAATATCCCTAATTGAGGCAAGACAACACACAGTAGAGCGACAGCAGCTGTAAAAGTACCCTGCATCCTTGGGGGAGTGAATTTTTAAAGTTCCACTTCCTTTCTGCCCCTCCAACCCTTCCGAGTATTTCATTTTGCAGAGTGGATCTGTTTGATTTAAGGCCCTAGGTGCTGGTTTTGGCTTGGTCATTGTTTTACACTGATCCAACTATACTTTCTTTTATTTTACAAAGCAATAACCATACATAACATGTCAACTGGAACCTTATAGGTTTTTTTTTAAGTTTATATCTGATGTTTGCTATGTCATATAATGCTTTTCATTAGGAAAAAAAGAAAAAACTGCAGGTCTTCACTTACAGTACCATGCACTATGAGTAGCTAAGGCATTCATTTGGCACGAGAGAGAAAATTACAGATAATTTTACTTTCATTATCATTTTTAACGTCGATACAAATAGGTCTGTACCCCTTTACTTGATTATCTGTGATGCTTAAAAGATAATCACAGAACACTTTTAGTTTGACAGTTAAAATGTTGCCATTAAAACAAAACAGAACTATAAAGACCTCTGTACAGCCTGTTGGAATAAGTGACATTTTGTGGATGAAAAATCTGCAGCTCTCAGACAGAAATACCTTTCAAAGTGGCATTGAGAATTACTTCATCAATTTCCTATTCCACATTAGTTTTTTTCTAATTCCTGTCATAGGCAAAGAACGTGAAAAAATTCCAAAATATTCTGGTTCCTTTACATCGGCCATAAACACCTTACCGGGGAGGCACAAACAATGCCCTCTGGAAAAGTAGCTTCCAAATTTTAAAAGACACCACACAGGAGGGAAGGGAGAAGAGACAAAAACAGAATGTGTAACTACACATGACAATTTGTGTTTCGTAAGAAAGCACAGCATTCATAATTTTTACATATCTGTGGGCTGAATCAAATGTAGACTGCTGCAATTTAAATCACATTGAAACAAGAGATTTCAAAGAACGCAAGCCTAAAGGCAGTCTATCAATATTCTCTGAAAAGTTGGTTTAAAAGTATTACGAATTTGTACATACCACTCAGTTTAACGTAAAAATTGCCAATGGATTTAATGTCATAGTTCTGCAACTAGAGTTAAAAGAACACATTTCAGATTAACCTGTGCTGTGTTTATAACCCTCCCGGTGTTACGATGTGTTGCTACCACCCCACGTAAATGGGAGAGCACCCCACAGCAGTCCAGCACGTGCAGAACCCCCGCACAGCCCATGACTTCCAGCACTCCTCAGTTCTTCCTCTTCGGAAAATCCTCCCAACTGCTGCGTGGATAACATGCCAACACAGGCTTCAGACACACTTTTGTAGGCAGCTGTTTAAAACATTATCAAGTCGAAATCATAAATGTCCCTTGTTACATACACAAAATATTTTATATTCATTCCTTAAAAATAAAAAAAGACAAATGGTTAAGTGACCAATATCCAAACACCTTCAATTATAGTTCCACCTAAACAATGTGACTTTGTTTAAAGTGTGTTTGAAATCAATTACCACATGAGGCAAGAAGACCAAATACAGAACCCAGGAAGGACAGGCTGGGAGGAAGGGGAGTGGAAAAGAAAGCAGAATTTATGAACACATCATTCTATTGTCTGTGATTAAAGTCCTTTACTTTTTAGCACCACATTAAACGATTTTACATAACCAGTCACTTAGTGAAATCCAACGAACTCTTCGAGAGTTCTGGGGATCTGGTCTTGGTAGTTAATGTCATTAGCCCGAACTGCTCGGGCAGCCAGGCACTTGAGACTCATCTTCATCTGAGTTTTAAGTAGTATTTCCGACACCCCGGTTGTACTTTTGTCTAGTGGAGTCTTATTCTGTTTATTTGTCATGTCGGTGTGAGCGCCAGCTTCCACCAGGCTGATGATGATGGAGTGCAAAGTCAGAAAGTCACTGATGGGCCTGTTGTACTGGACGATGATGTGAAGGGCGCTGTTGCCCTCATTGTCCACGGCATTCACCTCAGCACCGCAGTCCAACAGGAGCTTGGTGACCAGCGCATTTGGGAAGCTGCAGACGTCATTGGTGTGGAAATCATCCACGGGGGTATTGGAGTTGACAGCGAGATGCAGCAAGGTGAAACCTTCCCGCGTTCTAGGATCGAGGTGAATCAGGTTGTAGATCTGCTTGTTGATTCTGCACTGGTCTTCTTCGCTGCACTGTGTTTTGGTGGAGATGCACACTAAATACAGAAAGGTATAGAGATTACATTCGTAGTTATCCATGGCACTGTGGACGTCAGCATCTGGGATATTTTTCACTCTGTTCATACTCTGTTCTATTTCCAAAACGCTGCACCTCAAAACGCACTCTATGTCCGGTGCCTTCACGGTCTCATTCAAATGTATCATCTGTGAGAAAACTTGAGCAAATCGAAGCAGATCCTTGTGGGTGTTCCTGTTCCCTTTCTGCCTGAGGTGCAGGGCGTGAAGCCACAGCTTGATACACTGTTCGAATTCCATGTTATCCGCATAAACAGCCCCCCTATAAATGATGGGGTGGGAAACATCGATATTGTCAGCACCTAAAATCCGCTCGCGAACAATAAGGCCTTCCATGTGAAGAGCATCTCTGTCTTGCCGAATGGACTCCAGTTCCTGAGGATTTCTACATTCAGTTCTATTCCCGTAAGCATGAATAGGGGGCAGAACCTCTTTTTCAAGAACGTTATCGCCATCTTGAAACCTCTCCAGCATGGCTAAATATAAATAGTGGTACGTCTTCATGATGTCATAGTTCTCACGGTCATTTGCAAAGGAGGCGCCCAAGAGTTCTAGAGCTTCAATCCGACTTCTTCGGTCACAATCAGCGTGAGAGAGTAACAGCTCAACGACATCGGCTTTACAGCTTTCGGCAGCTACTTTCAATGGCGTCATCCCATGGCCATTCACTACAATAGCAGCGCGCCATTTTATCAGCTCTTTCACGATGTCTATGTGCCCAGCTTCAGCCGCAAAGTGCAAAGCCGTGGCGCCACAGTGCGCTTTAGCATTGGGATCAGCACGCTGCTCCAAGAGGTACCTGACCACGTCAGTGTGTCCCTTATACGCTGCGATCATCAGGCAGGTGTTGTCGTACTTGTTGGCAATGCTGATGTTGGCATTATTTTCAACCAAGTATTTCACGATGTCTAGTCTGCCATCGAAGCATGCTGCCCGCAGGGGGGTGGAGTTAGTCACTGTGGTATGGTTCACGTTGGCTCCATGGCTGACCAGAAGCTTAACCACTTCAAAATGTCCTGCGCCTGCTGCACACCAGAGAGCAGTGGCACCATCAATGACATACCTACACACGAAACAAACAGTTAGAAAATGCAGGCCACGAGCCCTAACCTAAGCTGGAAGGATGTATTTCCTCTGCATGGACCTAGACCTCACTCTCCAGGACATTAACAAAATATGAGTTTGGGGGAAGATAAGAACAGGTGACTTGGGGCCAACAGATGGCATGGTGGTTAAGGCACTGGATTCCCACATTGCCGACCACAGTTCAAGTTCCAAATCCAGTAGCTTGAAAATCATGTCAGGTATGTGTACATGAGTGCCTGAAATCCCAAGAGGAGATGGAAGACAAGGGATTGGGGGATGTCCATTCCCACGGGGGCTGACAACAGCACGGGTAGTAGGGCACAGCTACACAATGCTGGTGCGACATGGGAAGACTCTGAATTCAGATCCTACGCAACCTGGGCATGCCAGGAACATACATGATCCTGCAGGCTGAAAGCCTGGGAGGGCGGGCTACAGTATGGTGAGACCTCGTCAAGGATACCTCCCTCCCTCCCTCCCTCTCTCTCTCTCTCAGGCTGCAGTATGGTGAGACCTCGTCAAGGATACCTCCCTCCCTTCCCCCCTCCCTCCCTCCTCCCCCTCCTCTCTTGATAAATAGAAATAAACATTAACAAATGCATGGAGCTATATCACTAAACTCTTGTTTAAAAAAAGGGGGGGGGGACACAACAGTGCTGCAACAGTGGAACGTGATACCCTGCGAGGCAGACCACGTGGAAGAGTTGCCAGTTCACGCCTAGAGACATGCCTGAGTACTCCAGGCATGCCTGTACCCATGACCTGCACTGGCTGAGGCCAGGGTGGGCTACACGGTCAACACTCTGTCACTGTCGGAGGTGCTGTATCTCTGTCTCTCCCACTCGTGAAATAAATAAATAAGCTTTGGAGAAAAAAAAAAAAAAGACATAAATCTAAATAAATAGAAGACTATATCCGTGATATTTTAATTTTGGGGGGGGGGGTGTTTGCCACAGGGCATGTACACTCACCCGAGAGAGACATAGAAAGGAAAAGTGAGAAATCACCTCCAGGGGAAATGGCCATATAGAAATCTTTTTTCCTTCCATTCTCCACTCAGGATTTTGGGCACTACACGAACATGCACCCAGGGTGAGTTTTCAAGCTATTAATAGCTGAGACTTGAACCATGCTCGACCATGTGGGAATCCAGCACCCTAATCACCACATTTTGCAAACATTCAGTTTAATTCACTTAAACTTTTATCTCAATTATATATGCAAACTCACCTAAAAAATGTTTTTCATTGTCAGAAAAATGCTCAATTGCAACAGCATCAAAAAATATCAGTATCTGGGACCAGAAGGTGGCGTGGTGGTTAGGGCGCTAGACATTCTCACATGGCTGGGCACGGTTCAAGTCCCTGACCTGGTGGCTTGCTTTCTCACTATCCCTCTCTCTTTCTCTGTCTCTCTCTCTCTGGTCAAATTTTAAAAATAAATAAATAAATAAGTGAATGGATAAATAAAATTAAATAAATATTTTGAAAAAAAATCAGTATCTAATAATAAATCTAATTGTAAACCATGCAAAACTTTTACATTATTACATATTTCTAAGATAAATAATGAAGAAATATTCCATGCTCATGGGTTAGAAGACTCACTAGTGCTAAAATGCCAATTCTCGGGACCAGCAGTTAGTGTAATGGCTATGTCGCTGGACTCCCACATAGTCAACCACGGTTCGAGTCCCGGACCCGGTGGCTTAAAACTCATGCCGGGTGCGTTTGTATGCGTCCCCAAGATCCCAAGAAGGAGAATGGAAGAGAAGGGACTGCGGCGTGGCCAACTCCCCTGGGGGGGTGTGATTTCTCGCTTTCTGTCTCTCTGTCTGTCTGTCTGTCTGGCGAGTGCACGTGCCCTATAGCAAAAATCTCCCCAAAAAATAAATAAATAAAGTAAAAATAAAATAAAATAAAGTAAAATGCCAATTCTCCCCAAAATGATATGTAGATTCAATGCAATACAAATCAGAATCCTAGCAGGCTGTGTGATGAGTGTATGTATGGTATGTGCACATGTGTGTTGAAACTGACAAGTCAATTGTAAAAAGTATATGGAAAATGCAAACAGACAAGATACCCTTGAAGGAAAGTAAGCTGGGAACCAGCTCCATGGCACAGCAGTAATGTACTGCTGAAGAGAAGAATGCCACCTGGCGACCATGGTTCAAATTCCTGACCCAGTCAATGGGCACATGTGCAAGTGCTGAAGCTCCAACAGGCTGGAGGACTGAGGGAGTGGTCCCGGTGTGACCAGTCCCGGGGAGGATGATCCCCTCGCTCCCTTTACCTGTCTCTTACTCTCGCATCTGTGCACATATGCTCTATTACAAATGAATAAAGGCTCAAGATAAAAAATCAAGCTACAGTAATTAAGTATGTCACTGGCACGAGGACAGAATAACCCATCAATGGAACAAAACAGCTTGAAAAATAGATTGACAAATTAAGAGTCACTTGCTGGGACCAGCAGGTGGTTAAGGCGCTGGATTCCCACACAGATGACCACAGTTTGAGTCTCAAACCTGAAAGCTTGAAAATCACAATGGATCAACAGATAAATAAGTAAATAAATGTGGGTGTTTTTTTGTTTTGTTTTGAAAAGAATCACTTGCTTTAAGACAAAGGCTCCAGTGAAATGTAGGTGGAAAGTCTGGGGTCAGCAGATGGTATGGTGGTTGGGACGTTGAACTCCCATGTGGTCAGGTCAACTGTGGTTTGAGTCTCGGGACCCAGTAGCTTCAAACTCACACCAGGCACATATGCATGCATTCCCAAAATCCCAAGGGGTAAACGGAGAACGGACTGCAGGGCCATCCTCCTGGGGCGTGATTTCTCGCTTTCTGTCTCTGTCTCTTCGGTGAACATCTATTTATTCAAAGACATTGTAAAGAAAATGACTAAGGAATTCTCCCACAGGGAAAAGACATTCTCAGCAGATATATTTGACAAATCAATACAAAAAGGCAAATGACCCCCCAGGTTAAGAAGGGGTTAAAAGAGTGGACAAGGAACCTGTACAAAAGACATCAGTATGATCAATAAACATATAAAAAAAGATGCTCAAGATAATTACTCACCAGGGAAATGCAAATTAAAACCAGTAGCTACCAGTACACCCACCAGAACAGCTAAAATGAACAAGACGGACAGGACAATGCTCAGTCTACACCAGGCATGGAGCAGCTGAAACTCCCACTGCTGGTGGGAATGCTGAAGGAATGTAACTTGGCTCAGCCACTTTGGGGAAACTGGTTGGTAATACCTACAAACATACCCTATGGCTCAGCAATTCCACTCCTTAATATATGCCAAAGAGCAACGAGTGCAAATGTCCACCAAGACAGGCACAAGAATGCTCACGGCAGCTGCACTCACACTGGTACACTCTGGAAACAAGCAAAATATCTACTAACTAAAAATGGATGAACTGGCTTAATTCATTTGAAACTGATGGGAAAAAAGAAACTAGTAACACATGTAACTACATGATAAATCTCAGATATAGTAAGTGAAAAAAGCCAGACACAAAACAGTATATTGTATGATTCTTTTTATAGGAAATTGAAGCACAAGCAAAGCTAAGCTATGGTGATATAAATCAGAATAATCATTTCTTCTGGGATGGGTAAGCAGAGGAAGTGACTGAAAAGGGACACGGGGAACTTTTAGAATGATAGAAATGATCTACATGTTGACCTAAAAGGTGACCATGTGGGCATAAACACATTAAACATTCATCACGGGCCGGCTCCATGACACAGTGGTAACGTGCTGCCCAGGAGAAGCCAGATCCCACATGAGAGCTATAGTTCAAACCCCAACCAGGTCACCCTCAAACACCCTGGGCAAGAGCACCCGCACCCCAAATCCACTGGGCTGGAAGACAGGAGGAAGGGAATCGCAGCGTGACCACACCCTGTGGGGTGCGGGAGCCTCGTAGGCCTCCCCCACTCACTCCAAAGTGCATGCACTCTCATGCTCTACCAGACTACACCCTAACTAAAAACAAACTGAGGCTTGGGTCGGAGGCAGCGTGGTGATTACGAGGCTGGATGCCCACATGGCCAACCGTGGTTCGAGTCCTGGACCTGGTGGCCTGCTTTCTCACTTTCCCTCTCTCTCTGTCTCTGGTGAGTACACATGCCCTATAGCAAACTTTAAAAATAATAATAGTACATTTAATTAATTTTTTAAGAGACATTTTTGCTATAGGGCACATGCTCTCTGGAGAGACAGAGAGACAGAAAGTGAAAAATCACCCTCCAGAGGGGATGCCCACACTGCAATCCCTTCTCCTCCATTCTCCTCTCGGGATTTTGGGTACTCACGCACATGCACAAGATGTGAGTTTCAAATCACCAGGTCTAGAACTTGAACATGTCGATTATGTGGGAGTCCAGTGACACAACCATCATGCCATCTGCTGGCTCCATAAAATAAGTAATTTTTTAAAAAGAGGCACAAATGACTTAATGAAAAAGTTTAAATATATAAATAGCTTACAACAGATACTTTTGATGTGCCAAATACTGTATTAACTGTTTATTGTGCAATAAATCTCATCTAATCCTCACAATAACCTCTTCTCATAAACCTAATAGATAAACACTGTTATAATACCTATTTTCCAAATATGTAACTAGAAGATACACATGAAATTGAAAATATAAAGTACTTTTTTTTTTGGTAGAGGTTTTTACCTTAGGGCAACATGCGCTTGCTGAGGAGAGAGACAGAGACAGTAAGACGGAAAGTGAGAAATCACTCGGAGGGGAGATGGCCACATTGAAATCTCTTCTCTCTCATTTTCCTTCTAGGATCTTAGGAACGTGCATATATAGCGTGAGTTCCAAGCTATCGAGTCCAGGACTCGAACCGTAGTCAAACGTGGGAGTCTAGTCACATAACCACTATACCATCTGCGGGAACCCAAACCACAAAGTATTTTGAACAACATACAATGCATCAA